TTGCTTACCCAGCAGCTGGGTTCTAAATTATATGCTGTTTATTACTAACATATTTTTGGTCTAATTTTTCACAGCATCATAGAATCACAGAACCATTCAGGTTGGAAAAGACCCTTGGGATCACCAAGTCCAACCATCATCCCTGTTCTACAAAGTTCTCCCCTAAACCATTTCCACCAACACCACATCCAAACGACCCTTAAACACATCCAGGGATGGTGACTCCACCACCTCCCTGGGCAGCCTGTTCCAGTGTCTGACCACTCCTTCTGTGATAAAAATGTTCCTAATGTCCAGTCTAAACCTCCCCTGGTGCAGCCTGATGCCCTTCCCTCTTGTTCTGCTGCTAATTACCTGTGAGAAGAGACCAGCACCAACCTCTCTACAGTCACCTTTCAGGTAGTTGTAGAGACTGATGAGGTCTCCCCTCAGCCTCTTCTTTTTCAAACTAAACATTCCTAGCTCCTTCAAGCGTTCTCTGGAAGATTTACTCTCTAGACTCTTCACCAGCTTCGTTGCCCTCCTCGGTACTTGCTCCAGCACGGCGAGATCTCTCTTGAATTGAGGTGCCCAAAACTGGACACAATGAAACATCCATTAAAAACATGGTAGCACTAAATGCCAAACTCCACTCTCAGTACACCAGCGTAAATCTAAAATACTTCCACTGATTTCAGCCTCCTGGTTTATGCTGGTATTTCCTAACAAACAGCATCCTCAAATCACCATTTTAGACCAGTAAAAGATCAGAAATGTTCACTGCAGTTAAGCTGCAGCAATATTTCATTATAATTCTCTATTTTCATATGCTTTCAAGTTCAAAGCTGAAATTTTTCATGCTTCATCTCATGACATTTTTGGGAAAGCCAATTAGATAGTCCCATCATCTGTTTCCATGCTATGAAATCACACACCAAAAGAAGAGGAAGCCCACAGGACCCTCTGGTTGGGAAGGACTCTCCCCCTCAGCTCTCTGCCGTTTGCTGTGGGCTACCAGGAGACACAGGGAGGGGCAAGACTTTTTTCCTCCGCAGAACTGTAATTTCTGTCAGTTCTCTCGCTCCTAAACCGCATGATGGTCCTAAAGCCTGGGCACTCGTTTCTTCCTCTTCTCTAACCTCCCTTTTGAAAAAATAATTCACACAGTGATGATGAATTAATTGTGCTGCTGCAGGAGGAGCTCTCAGGCATTAGAAATTAGGAAGTGAGAGAACTCAAGCTGTTCATTCAACTGTAGTTATGTCCCAGTGTAAAATGTATTACAATAGTCTTCACTCTTCATTAACACAGCCCTGGGCTAACTCTTACACAAACCAGCCAGTACATTTTTTCCATTATACAGATGAGGCTGGTATTACTACCTATTACTAAGATTGCCCAAAACAGACCAATACAGGTCTCTGAGACCCTGTTTTCAGTTGCTTATTTCTCTCTTAAGCTTTAGCATGTGGGATGAAAGCTGCCAGTCCTGGGTCTTTTTGTATTTTTCCAATGCAAAAGTCACAAAGAAAGTTTCTATGAAAATATTTCTGCCATTTCCAAATATCTGGCTAATGAAAAATACACTACTTTGCCCAAGTTAAAAATTCTGGCTGCCTTTGTTTGGGCCAAGACTTCAAAGCTTGCAGGAAACAGACTCTGTGTTAAGGCCACCTGTGCCATGACAGGAAACATATTGAAAAACAACAACACCTCTAACTGCTGCAAGAACTTAAAATCTTCAGCAATTAAATTATCCAGAAGCTCCTGTTGTCCCAAGTGTGCCCTGACTTGGGGGACGAGTGAGACTTTCCCCTGTGGTCGGTCCTGCTGTGGGGTGAGGCCAGGAGCAAAGGAAAGAAAGTTTATTTCTACACAGCCCCAACAGGCTTGTGGAGAGATATGATCAGTAAAATATTAAGATTTCTTTGTTATTTGGGAAGAGTGATAATTTATCTTTTTTTTTTTTTTTTTTTTTCCAAAGGCATATGAGCTCAGCCAGATCTGGGAAGATTTTCACCATAATGGCAAAAAGCACATTTCTGGCAAAATTCCATCTGCTACATTTCAAAGAAAAGGCATGATGAATTTTTCAATGCATAACAAAAAATATTAATTTTTTTTCATAACTACTTTAGAACTAAGCTGTTTTGGCAGGTATTTTCTCTCAAACTGAAACAATCAGGATAGAAAAATTCAGCATGAGAGAGAAAGTTTGGGAAAAAGGAAAAAGATCCTTGTGACTGCACAGGGAAACTCTTAGAGGAGGTGAAGAACTCCCTGGCATGTCCAGACGGACAGAACCCAGCTAGTCAAATTTTTATCAAAACCCACAAAACACCTCAAATACTAATACCTCAGCAAGGGCTACCTTGGTATATCTCCTCTGACAACTGCTAAAATACTGTGGAAACAACATCAGAAGCTTCTCTAGATCTTATCAATATGGGAAACATAGTCTAGTGATGAAAGACTGCATCATTAATCAGGTGGTACAGGAACCAAGTGATGAGCTGAGGGTATCTGTTCTAGGTCTGTGTTTTAGTGATACTTGAGCACCACTTGCTCCTGCCTTCCAAAAAGAACTCCAAAGGACTACCTAGGGACTTCTGCAGGCAGTGATGTGCTCAGTTCTGCTTCACAGCATCAGAAGCAGGCATTAAGCTTGTGAAGGGTTGCCACAATTTTTCCATTTGCTCTCTTCTCTGTCACTTTGGATAAGCCCCTGGCCCTCACCTGCCACCATTAAGGCTATTTGCATTCCCACTCCTCACCCCACACTGTCATTCCCGCATACTCATCATCATCCTGCTAATTACCAAGCTGGTCCGTAAGGCTGTAACTTCTATAAGAGGCTCACAGACAATGATGGTGACAGAAATTCCTCTCATTCACATCTGCACCTACGGTCCTGCTCTGTGCCACTCACAGATGTTTGTGAGGCTATTCCTGGAAATCTATCAGTTAACTGATGTGCTCTACAAACCAAGCAAACCCCCTGACCTCCCAGCTCTGAAACAACAACAAGTGGTCCTTTCCTGCCTTCTTTAAGCTAGATTAGCTCCAGGATGGGTTCTGAAACACAAAGATATGAGCAGCTGTGTGGGCATACATCAAAAAAAACAAGCATGAAAATAAGCAGCAGCTGAGCAGGAACAACTTCACCCAGCATTCTCATAAAGGAAAATCACTGTAGAGGAGTTATCAGCCTTTCAGACACTCCATGGAGTTAAGACATGGAGTTATCAAGAAGGTATAAGCTAACACCAACTGCTTTCCTTATTCTATGGGTATTTGCAACCTTGGCTGAAGACAGCACCTTTGCTACCAAGATATTAGTCTCTCCCTAAACACTTGTCTTTCTCTGCCCAGTTTTCTAATGCTGCTCTCGTATCTGCTCACTTGTCTTTGAAGTCCTCCCAGACATTCGCTGGATGCAGCATCCAAAACTTAAGAGTGTTACATCCCATCAGGCAAACATCCAAGCACAAAATTCCGTTCAGCTAGTAACTGTCAATATCAATACCAATAATGGCTAATTCTTGTTATCCACATAAATGAAGTAAACTTAATGGATGTACAAATGACCTTTATACATTACTTGCACCAGGCTTGCACACTCCTGATGCTTACTGTAATGTATCACCACTCTGTTTCCCCATACTTATAAAACAGACAAAAATCAGCAATTGCCTGTGTAAAATTTTCACTTACGCTGAAATTAGTGCATGTTAAATTTCTGCAGCTTCTTGATTCACATTAAGAACATTCAGAATTTGAAATGCTCCTTTCTCCATGCAAAATCTAGATCCAATCAAAAGAAATGGGAATCCCTGGAACTGCACTTGAAAGTTAGACTCAATCTGATTGGAAAAGAAAAGAAAAAAAAAGCTAAATTCTTCCTTTTTTAAAAAAACTGACTATTCCTTTTTAACCAAAATGTAGAATATTTGTTGGAAAAAACAAACCTCCCCCTGACAATGTTACACAGATCTACTAATCACAGTGTATTTACCCTGAGAAATAAAAGCAATCTGAAGCTTTACAGTTAGCACATGTTAAGTTCAATACATTGGAAACTGATACTTTTATCATTAAAAAAGGCATTATCTTATTAGTGGCCTGCATTTCAGAAAGCCTCACCCATTTTCTTTCCTTTTGAGCAAAGTTTATCACAGTAAAACATGTCAGCTTTTTAAGAGATGAAACTCCTGTTTATCCATGGATCAAGCGGTTTGGATTTGCACAGGCTCCCGCCAGGCACAGAGAGTCACTATCCACTGGGGAAAGCCCCGAGTGCTCCTGTCAGTCCTCCCAGCTTTCTGCTGAGACTGCCATGCAGAACTGCCCCATCAGAGTTTTTCTGATGTCCCCACTAGAAGCTGACTCCAGACCAGCCAACTCGCTTTGGAGTGATCTTGAGCACCACTGAATTGCTATCAGATTCACCTCTCCTACTTCTTGAGAAGCCAAGAAATGTACTTTGTGTGTTGAGCTTAGTGAAGTCACAGACAAAAGCCCAGAAAGCCTGGGTTGCATCTGCCTTGCACTGTGCCAGACCAGGGGGATTAGTTCATTATTCTCTTCCTTCAAGCCAAGGATTATTTAGATGACACCTCAACGAGGGCCAGAAGAGTAATTTCCAGGCTGTGAATACAGTACCAGCACATACACTGGTTTGCCTCATGCCCTGGGGGATGCTGTCTGCCATCACCCATGGTGGCAACTCAAGACAGCACATCCCTATAGCAAGTCTGGGAATCAGCCAGCATGGGCAGAGCAGGCTCTCCCCACCAAGCTTCCAAACCAAATAGGAGTTACTATGCCAGGGGAAGCCAAGGAAGCTTTGGACAGTCAGAGCACTGTAAGCAAGGTGCTGGCTCCACGCCTGCAACCCACTTGCCCCAGAAGCACACCCCTCCTTCACTCCACTGGGCTTTCAGGATCAGGCTGGATTTGATGGCCCCATTCTCCACCGCACCCTCAAAAGTGAAAGGAGAAGAGGAATGTGGGACACTCACCACATCTGTGTTTGTGATCTTGGCCAGGAGGTCTGTGAGGCTGTCCCCATCATTGAGCTGAAGGCCACAGATGGCTGCTCCCACGCTTCCAGTTGCTATCATTGATGGTGGGTACATGGCAAAATTAAAATCTGCAAGAACAGATCTGGGAATTAGTCCAAGCCCAGACCAGAAAAGCTGCAAAACATCAGAGGCAAGCAACATAAAAAAAACACACCCAAGAATAAAAAACAGGGCAGCAGAAGAAAGGGAAAAGTGCCATTCTTTTTCATCCAGCAGAGCTCATTAGTCACATTGCTCATCACAAGCAGTCAAAGGAGAGGTAACAGATCTGCAAATTAAAATGGAAATGTGGTTTGGTCTTTTATTCTCACTGATGCATAAAGTAAACCTGGACAACTTTTATTAGTCTTTCCTTAGTTTTAAAGAAAAGGAAAGAGAAGAAGGAGGCTTTCTTTAATTTATGTCAGAAATTTGGGTCTTGGTCACATTAGAGCTCTCTATATAACCAGAAAACTAACTGGAATAAGTATCACAAAGGACAAAACTGAGATTTTTTGTCATGTCAGTTTTTAAAGACTTAATTAACTTGAACATTTAAAGACCTGTCCAGGAAAGAGATTTTAATTAATAATTCATTTTTACCACCTTTGCAATTAGGAAGTGAGAACACTTGCAGCCCATAGCTATGTAATCAAAGAAAAAACAAAGATCACATTTGTCATTACTATTATTTCTTAATGAACTGAATTGAAAATGAACTGAATTGAAAATACCTTTCAAAACTTCCTCTCACACATCTGTGGAGATCAGGACAGAAATGAAAATAAAACTTGATGATCTCATAATCTTTATAAGGCCATTTTGCAGTTTATGATACCCTCATAGACATTAGCTCATCAGCATAGCTTACTAAACAGCTTTTTCAGGAGATCTCCTAGGTTACTGATATCTTTCTAAAATAAAACTTGGTTTGCAAGTTGTTTGGTTCAACAATAACTCATTAACAAACCCTTCTCTACCCATTTTCACTTGAAGGGACTGGAAAAGGAAGAGGAAACCCAAGTAATATCTAGTATGAAATAAACCAAAATCAATATATTAAGTCTACTTATAGAAACAGAGTGTTACAGAAAATTGCCCTTCTGTTAAGGCCAGATCCCAAGCCTTCTCTCTTCAGCTAGCACAAATTCTGTAACCCACTCGATGTCTACGTAAACACTTGTTACAGACACATGCAGAGCTGTTCTCAGCCTCCCAGACTCTGAGCTGGCAGATAGAGCAATAGATGGGAAAATGGTATGTTCTTCTGTAGGCTGGGCTATGTCTCTGTGACCCACGAGAAATCAAGTACTCAGTAAGAATAGGGTTCAGGTCATAACATTAATCCAGACGGATCTGAGGTGACGATTTTAGAAACGGGGAGAGAGAAGGAGGAGCTGAAACCCTGGCATGGATTTATCCATCTCACAAAGCCACCAGGAGATGACCTGCTGCAAGCCCACTATTTCATACTGCTGATACCTACAGTCCTTCCTACCAGGGGAGCTCAGCAGACAGCACACTGACAGACTCTTCTAAAGGAGCAAATTCCCACTGTCTGCAGCAATAATTACAGCCAACCATTATTATGAAAAGTAATAGGAGAGGTGCTCCAGCCTTCCATTATCTTTGCTGCCCTTCTCTGGACTTTCTCTGGACTTTCTTCATGTCCTTCTTACGTTGGGGGTGCCAGAACTGGACTCAGTACTCCAGGTGGGGTCTCACACGAGCCAAGTAATGAGGCAGAATCACCTCCCTGGCCCTGCTGGCCATGCTTATTTTGATGCAGCCCAGGACATGTTTGGCTTTCTGGGCTGCAAGCGCACATTGCCAGCTTGTGTTGAGCTTCTCGTCCACCATCACTCCCAAGTCCCTCTCCTCTGGACCGTTTTCAATCCATTTGCCACCCAACCTGCATTTGTGCTTGGGATTGCCCCAACCTAGGTAAAGGACCTTGCACTTGGCCTGGTTGAATTTGATGCAGCTTGCACGAGCCCATCTCTCAAGCCTGTCAAGGCCTGCTGGATGGCATCCCTTCCCTCCAGTGTGCCGACCTCACCACACGCTTTGGTGTCGTCAGCAAAGTTGCTCAGAGTGCACTCAATGCCACTGTCCATGTCACTGACAAAGACCTTAAATAGCACCAGTCCCAGTACCGACCCTTGGGGAACGCCACTTGTCGTAGGTCTCCATCTGGACATCAAGCCATTGACCGCCACTCTCTAAGTGAGACCATCCAGCCAGTTCCTTACCCAAGGAGAGGTCCATCCAATGAATCTGCACTCTTCCAGTTTTGATACCAGGATGTCATGCGGGACAGTGCTGAAGGCTTTGCACAGGTCCAGATAGATGACATCAGTTGGTCTTCCTTTGTCCACCAATGCTGTGACCCCATTGTAGAAGGCCACCAAATTAGTCAGGCCGGATTTGCCCTTGGTGAAGCTGTGTTGGCTGTCACCAATCACATAATATTTTAGTAGCAAGAACTCACAGCACATAGGAAAACTGATGATCTTGATCATTACGTTATAATGTCCTCACTAATGAGTTAACAGTAGAGCCCTGACTCCTACTTATTAGTGCAGGACACAGCTCTGAGGATGCTCACCTCCCACATGTTGAGATAACAGGAGTTAGTTTCATGATTGAAATTGCTTTCACATTTACCTCATGTGGATTTATACATCTGCATGCAACTGCAAGCCCCACACAGCCTGTAAATGGATAACCAGGGAGAACAGATAAAGTCACCTGATACATTGCACGTGGGCCCTCACAGAGCCCACCCTACCCGTAGTGCCCCATGGTTGCACTTATCATCAGGCCACACCTCAAGAGCAGGCCAAAACTAAGGTGGGATTTTAAGCCCTGGAAACAGTCCTTGGTTTATGCCATTTTGCCTCTCTTCTTACTCATTGCTACTGCCAGGAGGCCCCGGCACCCAGCTCAGGCAGACTGTTGCAGTAGCTCACTGTTGTGGGTCCATCTGGGGGCTAGTGGCTCCATGGAAGAAGTGTGATAGCTGGGCCACAAGTTTACAAAGTCCAACAGGAAGAGCAGGTATGGTTAAAAGAGATTTTTATATATGGTAACGAGATTTTCATAAAGGCTGCAAATGTGTATGTGCTTGTATGACTGCCCAGTCTCCTTCTGGTCCACAGAGCAAGTAATAAACATCTATAAAATTAAAGAATATTCAGACACTTAAGAAAGAGATCTAGAGTCCCCCAAATCTGCTGTCATCTGCACAGAGCAATTCATCAGCAATCCCACTGATTTCTTTAGAAAGGGCATAAATAAAAGATGACTACATCTCCTCGGGTGTGTTTCTCCTCTTCTACACAATGCATTTGCTTGGGCTTGCAAATCCTGTGTGCTTGTGTTGGTGTGAATGAGGCTGCACTGGCCAACACGGTCCTAAATTGGGATGCAGCCCCCGCATTTAAATATTTGGACTTACCAAACCACCATCTCCTAGTTATGCACAGAAACTACAGGTAGCAATGGACATCCCATAATTTGCCCATAATTTTGTCCTGAGTTTCAGGGAAGGTGTAGTGAAAAGATGATGCAAAACCTCTGAAACTCTGCTGACATTTGGACAATCCTTATGGAAGCTACTGTGCAGCAGGCTGAGAACCAAAACCCACTCCCTCCACCCATCTGAGCCAGCAGCAGGGAAAAATTGACCTATTTGGAGGCCTAGATGGACCCACACCCCTGTGCATGGTCACTGAGCCCCTACAAAGCAGCTTTACCGAGTCCCATGTGGCTGGAGGGGAGACACAAGCAACAGGAGGCTCCCATGTCTTGCACCCAACACTCAGCATGGCTAAGATATGGTGGACTAAGCAAAGGACACAGCTCCAGCCTGCCTTCTGAACTTCCTTGCCTCCTAAGGGCCTTCCTATTATCCCAATGCCAGTTTTCTTGTGGTTGATTTCATATCTACTCCCCAAAACCATCTTCCTTGGGAGCTGAATAAAGAGCCACAGTGCCCCTGCCAACTAGCACTGCTGTAGGTCTGCTTCCACGTAGGGTCACATGAGAACATTTCTATGCCCAATAGCCTTGTTAGCTCCCTTAATGTCATTCATAATGCAAATGAGACAGTGAGCGAATGGCCAGAGGCCCAGAGTGACTAAAGCTCAGCATCCAGATAGTCTTACATTGCCTCTAGCTCTAAACTAACTTCACTCCATAACAAGCACCATAAACTTGGCTATCAAAGCTACACATGCCCAGTCTTTGTTGTACAACAGGCAGTGATTTGTATCACTGGCTTCTATTTTTAGCATATTAATTAACTACTGCAACTGGTGAGGCAAGTGTCTCCAACTGGAGAGTGTGGCTCCATTGTCTGAAGTCATCACCTCATCTTGCACTATTGAAAATCATGGCAGTGACCCTCCTGCTGATATGAATTTAACCTGACATGCCCACAAAGGGATGGGGGGTGGTGCACCAATTTTGTGCACATGGTTCTCCAAATCACCCTGGACCCTATTAGTGTGGAAAGAGCTCATTGAAAGAAAAGAAGCCACATTGTGCTGGGCCACCTAAAGGGTTGAATAGAAAAGGCTGAGGAAAAGAGCAGGCAGCGGAATAAAGGCCGCAATTAACATATTTCCATATTCAAGCAAAGCAATAACTACGTGAAATGTTTGTCAAGGTGCAGTGAAATGCATAAATATTAAGCACTGTATCTGAGGGGATGCAGAACTCCCCTCCAAGTCCCTTACATTCCATCGAGAAACTACAAATAAGCTTTTTATACGTTACCTTCAATTATAAACCTCTATCCCTGCTTTCCCCATAACAACAAGCCAAGCTCTTCCATCCTCACTCAGTTTTCACCCAAGTAAAACTGCCCTCATTATTAAGTCAAAAGTTTGCTTTAACAACAACAAAAAAACAAAAAAGGGCAGAGAAAGGATCTAAACATGTGAAGCTGAAACATAGGCTTTTATTTTAAATTCTTGTTGGAGACGAAGAACCTTGAATTACAGGGGGAATCTTTAAAAACGCTTCTTAGTAGATACCTGAAGCAAGACTTTGAGCTAAATCCTTCTTTCTGACCTGTGTACAA